CACCACTTCTCTGTCCATCCTGGGGCCGAGTCCCACATACAGCAACTAGAAGGGTGTGCAGCTATGACATACAACTATCTACTGGGGCTTTGGGGGCAAAAAATAAAATAAATAAAGTCTTAAAAAATAAATAAATAAAGCAGGACAGTTTAGGCAATAAAAAGTAGATAAATGGAAATGGCCTGAGTATGTGAATGAATAAATAAAAATTATGGTATTACCCAGTCACAGTTACTTTTTAAAAAATGCTTTCTTTTGAACTTCAAAAGCAACCTCTACATCTGCGTTTATTTCTTCATCCCCTACTTTTTGTTTAACACACTTGCATTTAGATCTGTTTCTCTGTCACTTTGCTTAGGCATTTAAAAGGTCACTAGTGTTCTTAATGCTAAATCCAGAGGCTTCTTCTGCCTTTATCATCTTTTCTTTTTTTTTCTTTTTTGGGGCAGGAAGATCGTTCCTGAGCTAACATCTGTTGCCAGTCCTCCTCTTTTTGCTTGAGAAAGATTGGCCCTGAGCTAACATCTGTGCCAATCTTGCCTTATAATTTTTTTTATTTTTGTATGTGGGTCGCCACTACAGCATGGCTTGACACGTGGAGTATGTCTGCACACGGGACCCGAACCCACGAACCCAGGCCACCAAAGCAGAGCGCGCCGAACTTAACCACTACACCATGGGGCTGGCCCCTCATCTTTTCTTTTAAAACATTTGACACTGTCAACCTACCCTTCTCTTGGCTTCTTGGCACTCAACTATCCTCACTCATTCTTTCCACTCTCTAATGGGTACCTTCTCTGTGTTCTTCACTGCCCCTTTTCCTTTGAGTTGAATTGAGTCTAGGTGCTTTCTTCTCTTTATTCTCTGCTGTTCTAGTGGCTTCCCTTAACAGCAGTACGTGCATTCTCCAACATTCTAGTCCTTCTACCTGAGCTTCTGAATTGCTCTCCAGCATAGTCGCTTGTAGAGGTTGCACAGTGCTTTGACTCTCCATAGCTATTTAATCTTACAAAAATAGATGTTGCCCCTGCTTATATTTTATTTTAAAATCTAATTCATTTCTTTTAATGCCAATACATTTGTGTGTCAAAATTCACAAGCTACAAAAGGATACATAGTAAAATATTTCCCACTTATTGTTCTGCCATCCACTCAGCTTCTTTGCCTTTGGCAACCAGTTTCTGATTTCTTGTATGTTTTTCCAGAGAGGTTCTATATGAAAACAGCAATTCTGTATAAATCTTTACCGCATTTTACAAAGAAGTTGAGATTCAAAGATTTCAGTAATTGGCTCAGATCACAGAGATGGTAAGTGGCAGAGCCAGAATTCTAATGCTGGTCTTCCAATTAAAAATCTGCTGCATCTCCGTTTCCAAATGCATAGTTCTTCTTGGACTTCCTATCTCTTCCTATTTTCTGTCCTTCCTCTGAAATTAGCTTATCCCCATAAATTCTCCATCTTTGTAAGTGGAATTAACATTCTCTGATCATCAGGTTTGGAATTTTGTAATAATCATTGAATCTTTCTTGTTCGTTCCCGCATATATAATCTCTTTCTTTTTTTTTTTTTTTAATTTTATTTATTTTATTTTTTTCCCCCAAAGCCCCAGTAGATAGTTGTGTGTCATAGCTGCACATCCTTCTAGTTGCTGTATGTGGGACGTGGCCTCAGCATGGCCGGAGAAGTGGTGCGTTGGTGCGTGCCCGGGATCCGAACCAGGGCCGCCAGTAGCGGAGCGCACTCACTTAACCGAGAAGCCACGGGGCCAGCCCTCTT